TACTGTGCACTGGAAATGAGGTGAGTCCAGATTGAGATGTGCCATTTGTGTAAAACCCAGAGTGTATTTTCAAAATATAATTTTTTAAATATTTATAAAATGTAAAAGGGAAAAATACAACATATCACATTATTTGTTTTATATTTATGGCATATTAAATAATAACATGTTGATAATATTGGTTAATAAATATCTTAATCAATCATATCTATTGTAAGGGACTGGCAAAACGTTGGAGGAAGAGACCACAAGAGACCGGCTTCATGCAATAAGCATAAGGGGATTTTTATTGAGGATCCTGATTCAGCGCGCTGAGGCTCCAGGCTCACTCAGGAAGATAGAGCAGCCCAGAGCCCTGGGCAAGGGTTGAGCAGTGCTTAAGTACACTTTTTGGGGAGGGCAGGGACTTTATACACATCATAGTCTCCTTTAAAAAAATCACCATACACCACGGGAAAATCAAACAATAATTCTTAGACTTGATTAGTACATTCATTGGTGGGAACAGGCTGGGCAGGGGTGATTGGTCACTTCTAAGCGGGGTACACATTCAAACTGATTGGTTCTGGGGCCTGGATGCCTACGTGCTGGGTTACACAGGGTCCTAAGTTATTGAACAACCAGAGGATAAGGAGGAATATTTACTGGACAGTTCGGGTATTGTCCTAACAGCTACAGGAATTCCAGGTTTTGGGGGTAGTGGAGGAATTTAACAATACCTGGTCCTTCACTTTTTAACTCAGGCCTTGCAGCTTGGAAACTTTACAATGCCTGGTCGTTTACACTTTAACTTCAAATTCTTTTACTCTTACACTATTAGTTTTTATCTTTTGTAATGTGGTTACTGGAAATTTAAAATTGGATATGTAGTTCACAGTACATTTACCTCTACAGTGCTGTCTTACAGAACTGGGATAGGATCTTAGTCATAGCTCAATATCCAATACCATTTTCGCTGCCCAGCACACAACACGTGCACTGTTAATCAACACTGAATTGTTAAATCTGAGGTAAAAAAAAAAAAAATGCCTAAGCAATCATGTCAAAGCGGATTTCCTCTCTCCTCTTGAATGCTCAAAGCACTTAATATTTGAACATCCTTGTTCCTGACCATACACAATTTAGGACTTATTTGTCATGCTTTTATATTGTTAATTATGCCATATCTATAAATATGGTTACCACTTTTGTGCATCCTATTATGCCCAGCACAATGGTAAATACACAGTAGGAATTGATTGATTTCTTGTTAATTTAAGTAGGTGTTTTTATCCCTCTGGTTTCAGTGAACTTTGTTACCACAGTAATAACAGTTCAGTCTATACATGACATGTGAAGCTGACCTATTTAAAAACAATCTATCTTTGACATGATCATAGCCCCGTAACAATGAGATACTATTTAATTCAAATAAATGTTGAGACCTATCACATGCCAGTATTAAACATTCATTTATAACCACTAACCCAATTACATTTTTAAAAATAGTTGTTAAAGACAGTAGATAAAATCATGATTATCTTGAACTCTCATATACTTTGTTTTTAGAATTACACTTTAAAACTTTTCTAAAATGAATTTCTATATTACTTTTATCCAGCTACTTCTTGCAAATATTTCTTTTATTTCATTATATTGTATTGTTTTGCTTCCCAGTTAACATAGACTCAAAGGAGAAAAGATGAAATGGGTTCAATAACTATAGTTCAATGATAAATTCTTCCCACAGCCTTTCTTGAGGGTAAGTCAGAGCTTGGTAGAGGGTATGTAAATGGACTGCATGATCAATAGAAAGGTCTCAAAGTTTCCCCATTTCTCACTCTCCCCCTAAAATATGAAAGAGCTACAGTTTGATCTCCACCTTTGACATATAGTAATTTAAACATCAAAGAAGGGTTTTAGTAATGGGTTTCACAGTTTTGAAAGCAAAAAAGATTTCCCATAGCTTTTTTGGCAATAGATAAAAAGCATTGAATCAAAATAACCTAGATGAACTGCCAACAGAGCTCATTCGTGAAATTCAGGTTTTATTTTTATTATCTTTTGTTTTGTTTTTTCCCTCAAAATAAGACTCTACTTAAATCAACTTATTTTTTAGAGAAACAATGACCCAATTTATCTGCAAAATTGGTGGACAATATCTAGATTTTTGCTAAACAATATTTATATTTTTAAATTTTCCCCCAATTCCCAAAATGATTAAAGTTGTATCTGCTCATCCACTGAGTCAGTATGCCACATTGCTCTTTGGAAAAAGGTTGCTCTGTTCTTGCAAGTACCACATTCAACTATTGTATGGTAATCACCTCAAAGCTTTCATCTCTTATCTGGCTTCAGGGCAGAGACAAATACTCTTGTCTGCAGCTGCTAATTACTGACCTGGGAATGAATATGTAAAAGCCTTTACATTCTGACTCTTTTTCCATATAACAACACACACACACACACACACACACACACACACACACAGATGCAAATACACATGTCTGTTATGCTTTGCATCTAGAATGTCCCCCACAAGCTAATGTGTTTGGATAGATAAAAAAATGTGGCATATATACACAATGAAATTTTACTCAGCAATAAAAGAGAATAAAATCATGGCATTTGCAGGTAAATGGATGGAGTAAGAGAAGATAATTGTAGGTGAAGTTAGCAAATCCCCAAAAAAACAAATGCTGAATGTTTTCTCTAATTTAAAGTTGCTGATTCATAATATGCTGCAGGGGAATGGGAGGAATAGATGATAGAACAACGGGGAGGGAGGAGAAGGGAAGGGGCATGGGAGTAGGAAAGATGGTGGAATGAGATGGACATCATTACCCTAAGTACATGTATGAAGACACAAATGGTGTGAATATACTTTGTATACAACCAGAGATATGAAAAATTGTGCTCTATATATGCAATATGTATTGAAATGCATTCGGTTGTAATGTATAACAAATTAAAATTTTAAAAAGAACAAAACAAAGAATTATGGTTCTCACTATAGCAATTAGGGTTTGAGGTCATAAATTGATTACTCCATTTGCAGGATTAGTCCACTGATAATTGAATGAGATAGGTCCTTCAAGAGCATGTCAACAGTGACCTATCTAGGCTCCAGCCCATCCCCACCTCTCCCTGTCCTGGGCTGCTAGGACATTAGCATCTTTCCTCAGCCATGCCCTTCTACCATGATTCTGCTGTGTAGTTGTCCACCATGGACTGAACCAATGAAACTATTAGTCCAAAATATAGTCTTCCTCCTCTTAAGTTGTGCTTATCAGGTATTTTGGTCACAGTGATGAAAAGCTGATTAACATGCTAACAGGAGTAAATAATTTAGGGAGGTTTTCAAAGGAAAACTTAAGATAGTTTGAGGTAGACATTAATGAGTCAGAAGTACCAGTTCCACTTCAACCACAATGATTGGAGATGATACCACTCTCACTCACATTATTGTAAATATCACTTAATTGGTTTCTATGTTTCAAGCCTTGTCCTCCTCTAGTGTCCTCTACACTGAAATTTGGGGCCCTGCATGGTATGTTCTCGAAACTCAGTTCTTAATATTCCTCTTTACTTACTTTACTCAGGGTCCTTGCCTCCCTCTATTCCTCAAATACATCAAACCTAGTCATAATCATGGTCTTTGCACTTGTTCTTCCTCTGTTTTCATTGGTCTTCCAGATATCTACATAGTCCAATCCCTCACCTACTTCAAGTCTCTAGTCAACTGGTTCTTTGTTAGTGAGGTTTTCTTTAACTAACCTACATAAAACATCAACACTTATTCAACAGTCCCTCCCCCTTTTTATAAAGAGAGAGAGAAGAGAGAAAGAGAGAGAGAGAGAGAGAGAGAGAGAGAGAGAGAGAGAGAGAGAGAGAGAGAGAGAGAGAGAGAGAGAATTTTTTAATATTTTTTTTTTTAGTTTTCGGTGGACACAACATCTTTATTTTTATGTGGTGCTGAGGATTGAATCCAGCGTCCCGCGAGTGCCAAGCAAGCGCGTTACCACTTGAGTCACATCCCCAGGCCCCGCCTTTTAAAAAAGTTTTTAAAATATATATATTTTTAGTTTGTAAATGGACACAATACCTTTATTTTATTTCTTTACTTTAATGTGATGCTGAGGATGGAATGCAGGGCCTCCCATTTGCTAGGTGAGCACTCTACCACTGAGCTACAGCCTCAGCTCCACTTTCTTATATTGTTTTTCCAAAGCACTTATCCCTACCTGATGTACTGCATTGTTTACTTATTCACTTATTTATTTATTATATTTCCTTCTAGTATCATATAAGCTGCATGAAGACAGATGTTTTGACTGCTCTAAAATACCTAGAACATAGAAGCTACTCACCAAATATTAATTGAATCAATGAATCCATAAGTAAATGAATAAATACTGTTTAAAGACTTGATTAAATACATATGACTAATGTTGAAAAAACATAATGAGACTGAACTATAGTCCTTGGGTTAAGATGAGAGTTTGCTCCTTCTCTGTGCTCTTCACTATGTGAGGCTACAAGGAAAAGCAGATAGTCTAAAATCTAGACAGAAGATGCCCACCTCAGAACTTGACCTTGCTGTCACCTTGATCTTGGACTTCCAGTCTCCAGAAGAGTGGAAAAAAAAAACTTATTATTTATAAACCATTCAATTTATGTTATTTTGTTATCAGAGTCTGAGCTAATTAAGAACCACATATTTCATCAAAGTTAATACCCAAAACATAAAAGGAACTGTGACAACAGTATAAACAAAGAAAACAAAGCAAAAAGTTAAATAGTCAGATTTTAAAATGTGCAAAGAATCTCAATATATATTTGTTGAAAAAGGGCATGCAAATGAATGTAGGAAAAAATGTTCAACATCACTAATTACTGAGGAAATTCAAATTAAAGCTACAATGACATGTTTCATCATATATTAGGATAGTTGTTAAATATACGTGTGTGTGTGTGTGTGTGTGTGTGTATTTGTGTGTATTTAAAAAGACACCAGGACTGGGGATGTAGCTCAGTTGGTAGAGTGCCTGCCTTGTATGCATGTGGCCCTGGGTTCAATCCCCAGTACCACACACAAAAAAGGATAATATACAGAGTAAAGGTAAGTCATTGGTTCTGGGGTTGTGGCTTAGTGGTAGAGCACTCACCTGGCATGTGTGAGGCACTGGGTTCAATCCCCAGCACCTCACAAAAATAAACAAATAAAATAAAGGTGTCATGTCCATCTACAACTAAAAAAATTTAAATAATGAATTCATTAAAAAGACCAAGTTTTGTAAGGATGTGGAGAAAAAGAATCATTTTAAATTGTTGGTTGGAATGTAAATTGGTACAGCACTATAGAAAACAGTACGGGAGGGGGTCTTCAAAAATTGAAAACTATAGGCTGGGGATATAGCATGCTGGAGGCCCTAGAATCTACCTCCAGCACCCCAAAATGAATGTAACAACTATACCACTAAGCAATTGAATGTACATTTATTTATCCTAAGAAATTGAGATAAGGATCTCAAATATACATCTGTAGTCCCATGTTTATTACAGTATTATTCACAATAGACAAGATATGGAAACAAACTAAATATCCATTGACAGCTGAATGGAAAAATAAAATATGGTTATGGTGTGTATGCATATATATCTATGTGTGTGAATATATGAAATATTATTCACCTTTTAAAAAAGTTAAACCTGTCATTTCCAACAACTATGAGTGGAACTGAAAGATAATATGATAAGTGAAATAAGTCAGTCACAAAACACAAATACTAATGATCTCACTTATGTGTAGAATCTAAACTAGTCAAAATTATAAGAGCACAGAGAGGGACAGTGATTGCCAGCAGCTAGTGGGAGAGGAAGAAATGAGGAAGTGACAGCCAAAAGGTACAAATTTTGAGTTATGCAAAATAAATAATTTCTGGAGAGCTAATATCAAGCACAGTCCTAGAGCTAACAAGACTGTATTGTATTATAAAATTTTCCAAGAGAGTATATTTCATGTTAAGTATCCTTATTACACTCAAAAATAATGAAAATAATAAAGAGGGTTGAAGAAAACTTTGGGAAGTGATGGATTTCTCAAAAGCGTTAATGATGATTATTTTTTCACGACTTACCACCCAATATATTGGGTTATATACATTACATATGCATATTTTTACATGTCAATAATAGTTCAAAACCATGGTTTTAAACAAAACAGAAGTAATAGTCCATATTATCCTTATTAAAGTTGACACATACATATAATCTTTTTTTTTTTTTTTAGAGAATTTTTAATATTTATTTTTTAGTTCTTGGCGGACACAACATCTTTGTTTGTATGTGGTGCTGAGGATCGAACCCGGGCCGCACGCATGCCAGGCGAGCGCGCTGCTGCTTGAGCCACATCCCCAGCCCCGACATATAATCTTGGACAATTATTTATTTAGGTTGCCCACAGATGACATGACACAGGCATCTCTCTTACTCTGTTCATCCAAATTTTAAAACATTCATTTTTACCATTATTCATTCCCCACAATGCATTTAATATAATTAATAATAGGGAATTATCTACCCTGATTTTTACCAATATATTATTTATATATGCTGAAAGGATAAAGAAATTGAAATGTAAAGGATAAGGTTTGTTTCAAGACCTGTAATGTTTTTAAGTTCTGTTAATTTGCATTTGGAACCTGAAATTCATGTGGCAGTTAAAACAACTCCCGGAGAGACCAGTAAATCTATGTTGAAATCTCCCCTATCTGGTTGTTCTGTAAAAACAACCCACCCTCCCAGAAAGAAACCGTGCAGTCCAGCACGTATACACCTCAGGGCTTAAGCCAATCAGTTAGAATGTATACCCTTCTTTGTGCTGACCAATCACCCCTACCCTACTTGTTCCCGCCAGTGAATGTACTAATCATAGTTAAGAGTTGTTGTTTGATTTTCCCGCGGCGTGTGATGATTTGTTATGATGTATATGAAGTCCCTGCCCTTTCCAAAGAATGTATATAAGCTCTGTTTAAGCTGTTCACGGGACTCTTTGTTCTCTGCTCCTCTGAAGTGAGCTCTGAGCCCCAGCATGCTGGACCCCCAATAAACCCTTTGCTGTTGCATGAGACAGTCTCTTGGTGGTCTTTTCCTCCGACGTTCGCCCGACCTTTACAATGCCTAAGTCATCCTCTCTATGTTATAGTAGTTTTGGTTCCAATTTACACTTACTCAGCCCCTTAGAATTTGTGTATATGTGTGTATGTGTGTGTCTAAGTGACAAAACATGTTTTATATATTCCAACCTCAAATAGCTCCTTTTCTGCTACTACCAGAGATTATGAGAATAATAACACAAAGAGTACCTCTCCTTTCTGATCTCAAGATAATATTGTAGCTAGCTTACCTTCATTTCATGTGTACATATTGATAATACCTATATATACATATATATATATATATATATATATATAAAATGGAAAAATAAATGTAATTATGTCTTTTTATATTTTGTGACCCCAGCACTTCTGCAAAATCTATGTAGTTGTCACAATTTCACTAACGTTAATTAGATAGGCAATTTGACCTGAAAGGAGAAACTACATTTTCTAACAATTATACCAATGTGAGGTAGTAACATTGTATATAACAACAAAATAGTTTTCAGAGAATTTTAGTGGATCCAGATTTTTTTTTTTTTGATGCTGCATTATGAGCAGGGCTTGCAGTCATGCTCTGGATGACTATTCGAATATCGAATAGGTAATTAAATTCAATCTGTGCACTGACTGGCAGAGAAGGTGAGAAAAGAGGAAGCCATACCTGCCAGCAATGCTCTTAGTTACTGTGACAACCAGATTTGAGAAACTGAATGAAATCAAACAGAGTATCCAATCCAGAGTTGCCCACTTTCCTAGTCAGAGATACATACAAATGGCTCTTGCTCATTTTATGTCCACCAAAGTTGCATGCAAATTACTGCTCTCTCTTAAAACTATGGCCCCATTATTACTGCTGAAGTCAGTGCTGAAAATGATAAGAAAGGTCAGTTCTATATCCACTGCCACTCAACACAAAGCCTCCTCATACTGGGCACTGGTGATCTTGTTCCATACCCAACATTACCTTCTTACCTCTCACTGGAAATATAATTTTGCCTTAAGGAGAGAAGAGTACATGTATGGTCAATGCCTAGAAAATATTGAGGATAAAAATGCTATCTAAGATGATAGTTTTTTTGTAAAGTTTTAATGATATCACAATATTATTGTCCAAATAAAGCAATTAAATATAATGCAATTTTTAGGTTTGTCCCTATGATGGAAGGGAAAACATTCTTATGTCCACTTAGTCCTGAGAAATACTATGTAGAGTGCCATGTCTAATCACCCTGTTAACACTGTAACCCAGCATGTCATAAAAAGCTCTTTGTGTGACCATTGCAGTACTCAATTTTCTATGCCGTGGCAACAGAGAAAAATACACAGGTGAATTGCTGATAAATACTGCAGCTTTACGTCAATGCAGACAGAATATAAATAATACTTTCAAAGCCTTTTGCTTTACACATTTTTTTTTGCTACACCTGAAAATCATATATTTTGCCATACCGTTTGTCTATCAAATCTGTGTCACAATTTGTAGGGTTCCAGTTATTGGAAAGGAATAATAGGTAGTAATGAGTTCATAACAAAAATTAATTCCTATATTGTGTGTACATAGACACTTCACTTTATCTCATGTAAAATGCCTTTAACTAGAGAATAGTCAGGAAAAACAGGTTGAGTAGTTCTACTAATATACTTCATGTTGCACTCCTAACATAGTTTAAAGTAGAGATAGGTACACATAAACTTAACCAAGAACTGCAGTGCCATTACTAATCAAGTGAACAGAGAATCTTTCCTGCACTTAACCCTACTCTTCATTTAGAACATCCCTAAATGATGATTCAAAGAACCAGAGAGGTCAAGGAGGATGTTGAGGATTTCATCAACCTCCCTCTAGCTATAGCCAATCAAACCATCTTTTGTAGGTCTGAAATGAATATGGAGTTTGCAGAACTGAATGCAGCCTCTCTGAGCATCAGTTCCCTTATGTAGGAGTAGCTGTGATGATTAGAAATGATTTGCAAAGTTGCTAATTGCATATCTGCCTTTCAGTATGCAATCAATAAATTGAAACTATTTTTATTTTGTTTATAATCTATATTCCCTACTGGGATAGTATATATTATGGAAACTTGGCACAATCTAGACAAGGAATAAATATCCAAATTTAATTAAAACCACAAGCAGACACTGTGATGAGGATCAGACCCTCAGAAAATGTTCACAAATATGTTTCAAGATGTATGTGGCACCTATGACTGGAAGACTTTTGTATTTTGACTCTAGAGTAAAACAAGTGAGTCACCAAGGGCACAGGATTTAGGGAGGGACTTAGTTTTAGATCCTGACCCTGCACTTGCACTATGCTGAAAGTGACAGCTTCCTTACCTTTCATGCCCTGCCTAGATATTTCATTTTCCTTATGCAAGTGCAGGCTCTGTCTTTTTTTCCTTTGATACTTGGGATTAAACCCAGTGTCCCTCTACCACTGAAGTATATCCAGCTCCTTTATTATTTTAGAATTATAGTTAGACATAATAGTTTCATTCATTTTGACAAAACCATATATGCATAGAATTTGATTTACTCCATTTCAGTCCCTGTTCCCCTGTTTTCCTTTTCCTTTTCCCTCCCCCTATTCTCTCTCCCCTACTCCATTCATCTTCTTCTTCTTGCACTCATTTATTTTTCATTGGTGTTTTCTATATAATTGTAGAATCCCCTGTGGTGTATTGATATGTGCACACAACATGATTTTGTTAAATTCATCCCTCAGTTCATCCCCTTCCCCATCCTTCCTCCCTCTTGATCTCCTTCTACCCCACTGATCTTTTCTATATTTCTATGATGTCCAATCCCACTTTGCCCCTTACTTTGATATAGCTTCTACATATGAGAGAAAACATTTAGAACATTGAGTTTCTGAGTCTGTCTTATTTCACTTAGCATTATGTTTTCCACTTCCATCCATTTACCAGCATAT